GTCCAGTTTTGGTGAGCCTGTGTGAACTGTAGCCTCAGTTTCCTGTTGTTAGCTGGCAGGAGTGGCACCTGGTGTGGTCTTCTGCTGCTTCAAGGTTGGACGTGTTGTTGGTTCAGAGATGGTCTTCTGCAGACCTTGGTTGTAACCAGTGGTTATTTGAGTTCCTGTTGCCTTTCTATCATTTTCACCCAGAGAACTGCTGCTCACTGAATGTCATCTCTTTGTCGGACCATCCTCTGTAAACCCTAGAGATGACTGTGTGGGAAAATCCCAGTAGATCAGCAGTTTCTGGCACCAACAACCATGCCACGTTCAAAGTCACTTAAATCACCTTTCTTCTCATTCTGATGCTTGTTTTGAACTTCAGCAGGGTATATGACCATGTCTACATGCCTAAATGCATTGAGCTGCTGCCATGTGATTGGCTGATTAGCTATTTGCGTATAACAGGTGTACCTAATAAGGTAAACACAACTCCTGTTTCATACAAAAGCACAATCCACTTGACAACAGACCAATGAGGAGTATTAATTCCTGCATGTTCGCAATGCAGCTGACTGGAAGCGCAAACCTGGAAAACATCAAGCTCCAGCAACTAGAAGAGCTGAGCACTCTCTCAGTGAGATATCACTTCAGTCTGTATCAGGAGGGATCATCTCTGCAAACCTAAAACCCATTTCCTCTCCTTGCTCTGCCTGCATGCTATCTGTCTGGTTGACTTGTTTTTTATTTCCCTTTTGGTAAAGTCAGAGATACCGAGGCAGCGACTGAAAGGCAGCCTCCTTCGCCTGATCCAATTTGCAAAAAATTCAAACTGCTATCTCAACCTAGCAGGAGTGAAGTATAGTTTTTTTCCCCCCCAAACGATGATTTGTTTGCATGCTGGTGAATGTGCTCAAGAGAACCTGTAAAAAAAAACGATCCACATTTCATCAAATAATTTTCCTACTGTGCTGCTAAGTGAGCAGCATTAGGAGGAAGCTATTACATTCTCCACTATGTCGTTCTCGTCTTTCCCTGCAGGGCAATATCTCCCCAAAAAAAGCTACCACCCAACACACCAGGACTGCTGTGTGACAAAAAGAGCACCACAAGCGATACTAATCACATCACACATTCACGTGGAGAACAGGGAGCTCCAGCTCTTTGAATTCACATGCTGAAGAAGACCAGATTCTGTAAAGGACCACATCGAGTACGTCTGTATCCCTTTGCTTTTACTGTGATAACATTGAGCTTGAAGTGGATGAGAAATAGAGCAGTACTGAGTGAAGCAATGACTACTTTTGACCCCAGCACATCGTCAGCACCACCCTGAGGCCAGATATGCTTCTGGTCTCAGAGAGCACCAAGAGCATCATCATCATGGAGCTGACAGTGCCATGGGATGACCGCCTGGGGGAGGCCCACGAAAGGAAAGGGACCAAATATGAACACCTGGTCATCAACTGCCAAGCACAGGGCTGGAAGGCAACATGTATGCCCATCGAGGTTGGGAGTAGAGGACTTGTGGGGCACTCACTCCACAAAGCCTTAAGCGCACTGGGCATCACGGGAACAGCACCATCAAGAACATGACCGAAGCAGCTGAGAAAGCCTCAAGATGGCTCTGGATCCGGAGAGGAGAACCATGGGGGACAAGCAAATGCCACCTGAACACAAGTCGCGGTCTGATCAGCCGCGGCTGGGTCGCCTGGGCGAGGGTGTCTGATGTAGCAAGACCCGAAACACCCAGTGACCCCAGGTGACATCACTGATGATGTGTTCAGGTGCATCAGAAGATGTATTCAAGAAGGAACATAAAAAGGAGGCTATGTTCGTACAGTCAGAAAAGTCCACCACTGTTGGAAAACTGTCTTTAATCAGAATATGCGTGGCTTATCATTAGCCATGATGGCAGCTTAAATGAATATTGTCTTGTTTGGTATAAGGGAAAAAGCTGGTATATCATGTGCTTGTAAAGGTATTCATTGTCAGGCATTGTGATGTTGTGGAGGGACCTTGAGAGCCCAACACACTGCAGCTTGAGAAGACACGCAAATAAAGAAAACATCAATTTGAGAGCACAGAAAACAAAACAGAACAAATCCAGATGTGACTGCAGAATTCAGATTTGAATTAGCATCAGATCAACAGTAAATGTAGAGCAAAAAAAAAAAGTCTCCTGTGTGACTTCGGAGAGATTGCAGAGGAAAAAGACTTTTTGTTCTACTGTCCATTTCATCACAGTGTCAGATATGAACTTTTCCTAAAATTGTCTGCAGATGTCGTGATGTGTTTTCCATGTCTGATGAATGTAGACTTGAGTTTCTGTCTCAGTTTGCTCAGTTTGTGTCAAATGTTTACCACCTGTGTATGAGGACACTTTATGTTTGACATTTTAAAGATATGATTTTTGCCATGATGGTATTGCTCTTGTTTATGATGGATTGTAGTGACATGTCAGCCCATGTGGGCGGGGCATCTTTTGGTGTATGACACTTAAATGAAAGATCTGAATCTGAATCAGTAATAAGGACATAAGATAAGATAAACCCTTTTGAACCAGAGATTCCACAATGTTGCCATAAAGAAGATCTTCAATTACACCGGCTTTGTGTTTTTACTCTGAACAAAACACCAGCATGATGCTGCCCCAGTGTGGGAGACACAGCATGCTCGCATTCCAGGTTTCAGGTTCCAGAAGCAGGAGGTGTGACGTGTAACACAACAGCGTAGGCGTCTAGTGTCATTTTACACAAATGTTGAGTCAGCTGTGTTACTACAGTACCTCTACTGATGGCAGAATGTGGGGAAAAACAATGTGTAACACCAGGGGCGATCCTAGACACTCAGAGGGCCCCGGGCAAAGAGGCTCACTGAGGCCTCATCAAGGTCATAAGGGGATGTTTTGGGGCAACAGTGCTGTACTGTGGTGCCTTTATGGGGGTTTAAGGGGAAATTTGCAGTTGTCATTACAAAGTGTGTGTGTACGAGTGGCCATCAGGGCCACCTTTTCCCATTTTTTTGAGGGGGATGGGGGGTTCTCAACAGGTTGAGCATATTCACCACAGTCTGCCCATGTGTTACACCGAAATCTGTGATATGTCAAATTCTCTGACCCTCCAGTAGCCCCCCTCTAAAAATTGTGGAGTTTTGTGGTTGTTGAGTGGTTAGGGTTAAGGTTTAGATCAGGGGTGTGGAACTCATTTTAGTTCATGGGCCACACAGTCCCATTTGATCCGAGGGGGCCAGACCAGTAAAACCACTGAATAATGCAGATACGATCATACTACAACTGCTGATCGACAATACTCAATGTTCAGTATCTTTAAATATGACCACAGTAAGTATCCATTGTTATTTCAGAGAGCTGTATTCTGGTCATTGTGGAAAATAAAATCTGGTGCAGCATTTTACATGAAGTGTCTACACACTAGTTAACTTGCTCCTGAAATCTGGCACCCCTTCGCATTCACAAGTGCATCACTACTAGGTGCACAAAGTCATTAGTGTTGTGTCATTCGTGAACGAAACGTTCAAAAGAACGAATCTGTTGAGTGAATGTACTGAACTGAATCAATTCTGGAACTGATTCGTTCATTTCTCAGTTCAGTTGAGCTCAGCAGTGAGTGTGAAGGCAGAGAGTGGAACTGCAAATTCGGTCCGTGCGAAAGATGAATCACTCGCGAGGCAGCCAGGGTGCAGGGAGGGACTGCGTGACAAATCACTCGGTGAACGAATCACTCGGTGAATGAATCACTCGGTGAAAGTCGTAACCCCCGATCCCTGAGTGATCATTTCTTCTCAGCGATACACTTTCATAGGGACCGTTTTCTCCAAGCTAAATTCAGTGAGTTGGACTACGCAGCACACAGTCAGGGCCCCCCCCGCCATGCACTGAACAATTTGGTGAACAAATCTTTTGAACGAATCTTTTTAATGAACCGATTCTAGTGATTCAGTAACATCTAAAGAACTGCTTTGCCCATCACTACACATCATCTAGTGGGCCGGATTAAACCCTTTGGCAGGCTGGCTCTGGCCCCCAGGCTGTATGTTTGACACCCCTGGTTTAGAGGCTGGGTCATGGATTCTGATGGGTCACAGAATTTGGAGTAACAAATGCCCCCCCTATTTTGTGTCCTTATGTTTTCTACAGAATGGCAAAGCAGAATAAAGGCGCAACATTCCAGCCTTGAACAAGCTGTGAAAAAAGGGGCTGTTGTTTGCTCATTTTCCAAAACCACCGATGGCATATTGTGGGTTTTTTTTTTTGTATGCTGTGTGACCTGCAGCCAAGGGCATAGGTTTCATTTCAACATTGAAACAGGAGATTTGGGAGTCCTCCCCCAGGGAATTTTGAGTGTCAAACATATCCTTTTCATGCATCACTTTATGGTGTAAATGTCTTTCATTTTGTCAAAATAAAAGTCCTCCCCTACTTTCATGTTTTTATTGGGACAGACAAATGCACATTTTAGATACTGAGGGGAAGGTGCCCCCCGTGTCCCCCCTGAAATCTACCCCTGTGTCTCTCCAGTGTGTTGATCTTCCAGGACCACCATACCTCAAACCAGACAGAATGGATGCACAGATTGGTTTAGCTCAGGAGGATTATTTAATATTCCTACTTGACATTTTAAAAGACTGGTAGACAAGTGACCGGGGCATGCAGTTTAGTTCAGCTCTGGAAATAAAAGTCTGGAGGTATTATTTTGACTGGGAACTAGTGTGTGAAGTGGAACTGAAGTGACTGGCAGAAACACATGTTGGATACATGATGCAAAGACTGGATTTAGGTGTGAAACGCGCATGACAGCTTCACTGTTTCCCCCTGCGTGTTGACATCACCAGTCCACTAGGGCCCCGCCCCCCGCTCTCCGCTGATGCTGATCCCCCCGTTGCATCAGCACCATTTCTGGTATCCTCACAGAGTATCGAGAGAGGGAAAGAGAGAGAGAGAGAGAGAGAGAGAGAGAGAAAGAGAGAGACTACCCAGCCCCAGCAGAGCGTAGAGCCGTCAGACGGCCGCCAGAGCATCCCGGTTACGCACAGCTCAGAGGCCCCATCGACGGTTCGCAGCGCCAGAAAGCAGCTGAAGAAGAAGTCACCACAGCCGGGCACACGGCCACATTCACACTCAGTAATGGAGAGCCTGCTGGATAATCCAATGAAAGCCGTTCTTTACCTGAAGGAGCTCACCACTATCGTCCAGAACCAGCAAAGCTTGATCCAGACGCAGCGCCAACGCATCGACGAACTCGAGCGAAAGGTGGAGGACCTGATCGGAGAGAACCGACAGTTGCGGGACCCTCATCACTACGTCCAGCAGCCCGCTCAGCAGCATCACCACCACCACCACCACCACCCGACTCACCGCAGCGCCAGTCCCCAGGCGCCGGCCCACCTCCATCAGCACCCGGGGAGCAACAAAGCTGCGGCTCATCTCGGTCAGCAGGCGCAGCAGCAGCAGCCGCCGCCGCAGCAGCAGCATCAGCATCAGCAGCAGCAGCAGCAGCAGCAGCATCAGCAGCAGCAGCAGCAGCAGCAGCATCAGCAGCAGATCCCCGGTCTATCGGCCCAGCCTCAGCAGCATCCCACCCCTCCTGCGCCGTCCTCCCACCACCCGCAGCAGCTGCAGCTCGTCCCCACCTCGCCGCAGTCACCCAAAGCGAGCCAAGCCAGCCCGGACTCCGCCGAGGAGGACAAGAGGAGCCCCTGCTGCAAGTCCCTGGTTCCGCAGACTCCCACCGCGCTCTGCCGCTCAGTTGGACTGGCCAGGAAAGCGGAGTAAGTAGCTTTCATGCTGTGTGCACAATCTCCATTTTAAGGAGAGATTTACTATGAATTATGAGGACTCTTTGAATCAGATCTCCCTCATTAAACAAACAAAAATAGGCGCAAATCAGCTTCAGATTGCAGGAAAAAACCTCTATAACAGTGTGTTTTCAAACTGCACAGTGTCAAACATGTGACATTATTCACCCCACTGTGAAGCTTCATCTCCTGCCTCACATTAAATTCTCAAGATGGATATGTTTGCAGTGTACTCTTTTCTTGTCTAAATATAGCATGTGTGTTTGGCCAGAAAACCCTGTGATACCCTCAAGGGCCATGAGATATAATGCCACCGCCTGTTATCACCCACGTACGGATGTCAGCTCAAACACTGTCAGAGGGAAGCAACAATACAGTTAAGATTTTACGAAGTAGCCGACAAGATACTGTAAAATCACAGACACCGTATGAGGCCTGTGCTGGATTTCCCCTTGATTAACTTCACACCCCCCCCCTTGACAAGCTGAGGCTTAATTTTCTGACAGGTAATTCAAGCTCCTCCTGTATTTCCACATTATTCACTCAGTTGTTGCCCTGTGGAATCAATTGAATGCTTAATGGATATTGATTTGGAGGACCCAGGCTTGCATTTCAACCGTGGTGGTTTGTTAATTCTGCACCAAGGTGGACTCTCACTACAAGGTGGGACAAAGTGTTTTCTAGGAACAGGAGTGTGATTAAATAACACACTCAACGTTTTTGTCACCTTCACTCGCACCTCTAGATTTGTCCCCCGTTCCGGTTAGGTTACCTCGTTCCCCCCTTATATTCCCACACTTTGAATGTGAAATGAGCTTTTTGGCGAATTCACAAGTGCCGAGAGAGCGTGGTGACATTGTAAACATTTTAAAACAAGCAAAGCGCCGACTCCTGAAGGCACATCACCGACTTTGAGACAAATGTCAGCAATTTCACATCGTCACAACAAAAAAACAAACACCTACGTTCAGGGTTTGATTGTACAGAGTGGAGCTTGTTCCTCATTAAGCTGTTGAAGGATGTCACACTGGGAGGAACATATCCGGCGGGAGCATAATCAAAGACAGAAAGGCATTAATGGTTGCTTATAAATCACCTTCCAGGCTCCCGAGAGTTTCTAATAAGCCTTGATAAGTTTGAATTTACTTGCTTGTAGATATGTTATGAGTTAGTGTCATATTTCATACAGAGTCGGTGCCATCAGACAAATTTTGTCATTCGCTCCCCATATTGAGGATGAGTTTCTTTTCCTTATGTTATAGTACACTGACTGAATTGTTGGGTAAGGGGCCGCAAGCTATTTGAAGACAAACCTGGACTTTACAGACAATTTTCACAATTTTCTGATCATTATAAACCAAACAATTCATGCATCAACTGAGAAACAAATCAGCAGATAAATCGACAATGAATACAATCGTTAGTCGCAGCCCACAGGGAATATTTGGACAGAGGTAAAGAGAGTCTCGACTGACTGTCGCTTTATGTTTGAGCTATTAGCATATAAAGTAGAATCCAGGTGGTCCATCACATCAAAGCACACATATTCCTCTCAAGTGAAGTTATCTTTTGCATTGTATAAACTGTCCTCACTGAAATGTTGCACATTTATGCAAATAACAAATCATCGGCGGCCACTCGAGGCGAGTGTGTCGCTCATTTAGTGACATAGTGTATGAGCTGACTGACATAACGGAGTAGGGGGATGGTGGATGGCATCTGACCGAGGCGAGACATCTGCCAAGCTGCAGACCACTGTTGGAGACCAACAAGGCTCCAAACTCAGGTGTTTTGTAGCAACCAGTCGCTGTTTTTCCAGCAGGGATAGTGACCCCAAAACCAGGTATTATAAGTCTTTTCCTAAACATTACTAAGAGTTTTTTTGTGCCTAAACCTAACCATGTTATGACAAGTCAGCAGAAGAAAATAATGACATTGTATGTTTCTGCAAACTATGAATACATTTGCGTGTTTCATACATTTCATAACAACAATTCTAAAGTGACGTAGTATATAAAATGACACTGTCACTGGGAGTAGGAAGATGGTAGATGCCATCTCACCGAGGCGAGACGCCTGCCAAGCTGCCGACCACTGCTTAAGACCTCAAACAACAAAACTGGTTGTGATTTAGTGAGTCATTGCTGTGTTTCCAGCAGCTTTTTACGCTTCAGACTCGGATGTTTTGTAGCAACCAGTCGCTGTTTTTCCAGTAGGGATAGTGAGCCCAAAACCGGGTATTTTAAGCCAAAACAGGATCTTTTCCAAAACATGACTAAGCACAATGTTAGGCCCAGTTGACAGAAGAAAATAATGGCATTTTATGTTTCTACAAACCATGATTACGTTACATTTGCATGTCATAACACCTTTTCTAAAGTGACGTAGAATATGAGCTGACTCTGTCATTGGGAGTAAGGGGATGGTGGATGGCGCGTCACCGAGGTGAGACACCTGCCAAGCTGGCTGTGATTTAGCGAGTCATTGTTGTGTTTACAATGGCTTTTTAGGCTCCAAACTCAAGTGTTTTGTAGCAACCTGTCACTGTTTTTCCATCTTTTCCCAACCATAACTAAGCGTTTTTTGTGCCTAAACCTAACCATGTGATGCCAATTTGCCAGAGATAAATAGTGGGATTGTATGTTTCTGCAAACCACGAATACGTTACATTTGTATGTTTCATACGTATCATCACAACATTTCTAAAGTGACGTAGCATATGAGCTGACTCGGTCATTAGGAGGTGGAGGGGATGGTGGATGGTGCACCATGTAGGCGAGACCAACAAACAAATGGGCTGTGTTTTAGAGTCATTGCTCTTTTTAATTTTTTTTTTTTTTAGGCTTCAAACGTCGGTGTTTTGTAGTGACCAGTCACAGTTTTTCCACGAGTGACACACGAAAAGCAGTTGTTTTTTTAACAGAGGTGTTGCTGCTTTTCCTGCCGGGATAGTGACCCCAAAACTGTGTATTATAGGCCAAAACATGATCTTTTCCTAACCCATAACCAAGCGATTTTTGTGCCTAAACCCAACCAGATGTTAGGCCCAGTTGCCAGAAGAAAATAATGGCATTGTATGTTTCCTCAGCATGTTTCATACATATCATCACAACATTTCTAAAGTGACTTAGTATTTGAGCTGACTTTGTCATTAGGAGGTGGAGGGGATGGTGGATGGTGTATCTCGTAGGTGAGACGAACAAATAAAAATGTTTTAGCGAGTCATTGCTGTTTTTTTGTTGGCTTTTTAGGCTTCAAAAGTGGGTGTTTTGTAGCCACCTGCCACTTTTTTTTCCATTGGGGAAATACAAAAAGCAGTTGTTTTTTTTTAAAAGAGACATTGCTGCTTTTCCTGTTGGGATAGTGACCCAAAAACCCATCTTTCAACATGTCCGCTACATAATTATGTGCAAATGTAAAACATCCGTAATACGGCAAAACTTACGATAGCAACTTTTTTTTTGGTGATTGCATTGCGAGTTTAATGAGTTTTAGTTTAACATTCGACCGCTGCAGTGATGATATCTGATGGGTGTTTGTATGCGTGTGCTATGTGTACCTTTAACAAGTTAACCCCTTCAAATATGCCACTTTTTATTGTCTTACAGCACTGACCCAATGTAGTTTAGTTTCGTTTATTTGCACATACATGTATAGAAAATACAGGAAAAATGAATTAAAAGTCAAAACATTGTACAAGAGAGGTTAGGAGCCAAAAATGGCTCATGAAGATACAACAACAACAACAAAAACACAAACAAATTACAAATGAATCAATAAAGAGTTAAGAGTGTTTGCAAATTAGAGTCTTTTCCAGATGTTTTTTGAATATTCCAACTCATACTCATTGCAAATCCAGCCACAAAATTTTAAATGGATTGAAATTTGGACTCCTGAACATTAACAGCGTTATTTAAAGTCACTGGCGTCCAGCTTTGGCTTCATGCTTGGTGTCATTGTCTGGCTGGAAAACAATCCTCCCCAAAGTCAGAGGTTTCTTGCAGACCTGTGTTCATTTGCCCTCAGAGGACCTCTGCAGAGAAGCATCCACGTGGCGTTTTTAATCAGAGTCGCAGAACACGTTAAATCCCCTTTGATTCAATGCTGTAAAACAACAAAACATGAAGTATCCTGCTTCTCACATGCGCTGTCTGTGCCTCAGAACTGTCCATGGTGCTGAATGTTCTTTGCTCGCCACTATCAAGGTCACATGAATGGCCTCTGCCAGAGCTGCACACACACACATGCTCATACACGCGGCAACACACGACGCACCGCGCTGAGCCCCATCTGTTCCACTGGACTGCGTTTGCATTGTTTCTGTTAATCCAGATTGATTTATTGTACCATTAAGACATAATTCCTAAAGAGTGCAGGTCAGGAGCAGTATACATTAGCATGGCTACTAAGAGGAAAACTGCTCTAACATGGATTCACCCAGACGTGGACAAACACACAGATGATATGAGATGTACAAAATAAATGTCAGGGGGGGATTCAATAAGTGGATTCACTCATGATTTACCAGCCAAGCCACCCTGACAGTTGTGCAGGATGATGAACAATGAGAGACAGATGAAGAGCGAACTCGAGAGGGAGTGTACTGTAGTGTACACTATCTTATTTCATTAATGCAAAAGCAGTGACACATGAAAAGCAGGAGACGTGAAGCAGCATTGTAATTTCCATTTAGAGCATTGATCCTGGTCAGACAAGATGGTGTATGGCTGTGCTGTCAGTGCCGCAGGAGGAGTAATACATTTCTATTAACGGGAGGATGACAGGGACATGGCACAAACTTACTAATAAGGGTTGTGTGTATATTTGTTTCTGTATTTAGTCCCCCTTCTGGGTACTGAACTGGCGTCCACTAGAGATAGTGCCATGCTACAGGTGTCTTTCCTTTTCTGAAAGAATATGACGTGAGAACGCAGCCTGCCACACCATACGGGAAAAGTTTGACATGTTGGGAA